TATCGGAGTATGAAAGTGAAGAAAAAACAAAATTGGCTCACAATTTTGCGCACGCACCACAAGTTAAATCCTCTGGAGTCGATTGCATGGAAAGATTGAGATTTGCGGAGTAATACCACCACAGTCAAAAACGCTCACTTTACTCGCACGCTCAATTGTGCTTTATGATATTTAGTCGAAGGACGAATCAATATTGAGCAAACTTGGTGCATATCAGCCAATGGCGATAAAGCAAGGGGGGTGGATCTTATTGGTTGTGTGGCGGTTTAGGAAATGGCTTTGTGGGCTTTGTTTACACTTAAATCAGTTTTTTTTCTCGTCAGTCCTAACGCTCTTGTCAGTAGCTTGTAGCAGAGGTGACGTCATTAACATAGTTTATTATCACTATTGACAAAAAAAATTTGGCGCGAGTTTAATTGGTTTTAGGATGTGCTATTTCTGTTTTCCTTCCGCCATATTTTGACAAATACAATGATGAGTATTCCTTAAGATCTTATCTGCCCAAACCGCAACAAAATGTAGTTGTTTTTTTTTCTATTTCCATTAGAAATGGTTTATATATTCTTCCACTTCATTTTATTAATTTCTTCTAATTTGATTATAATATTATGAAATTATTTTTGCATTTCTTTTGATGTCTCTGTAGCGGATAGCTACTTTATTAGAGCCTGACTGACTCAGAAATCTCTATGGCAGATCCTCCTGCATCTAGCCAGACTCCCAGAACCAGCTAAGCTATAGCCCAGCTATAAAGGAAACAGACGTGTAGCACGGAGCACGTTTATTCAGGATGTATATTGCGGATAAAGTGTGTACACGCAGTGAGCTACTCATGATCAGGGTGGGGGATTAGGTTAAACAGAGGTTGATGATTGGTCACTGTTTGTACGGTAGCTGCACACAGAGTTGTACGGCCGCACCTCCCAATCCTGGCGAGCAGACATGTTGGCATACGATGAACAACGTGATAACGTGTCCTATATCTCAAAGAGTGGGGTGCGTGATAGACTTACCTCCACGTGGTGCACCCTGGGCAACGTATACTCATACGGCAAAATTGTCTATTATTCGGCAGTTGACTTCTCGCTTCAAACTATCATCACCCCACTGTAAGTCATATTCCACCACTTCCACAGTACTCACCTCACCTTTTTTATACCTTTGTGTCTGCCTCTTTTACTTCTTTGAAACACTTCTGTCCCCCCCTCTCGATTTTTTTCCCTTTGATGTTCCTTCCCCTCTGTGAAGCCTGAAGTCAACTAAAGGGCTAATGATACCAATCAAAACGCCTGCCATTTGATATAATAATAATAATAATATCTCAAAGAGTACGGTTTCGTTTACACAAATTTTCACTCTTTACTCTTCTTTTCAAACACAAGCAAAACGCACACACCGTCTAAAGTTCATAATATTTTCAATTCTAAAATGAGTATATATTCATCTACTACAGATTCAAACATCCTAGAGGTAGTTCGGGTCTTAGAGATTTCATGCCACTAATCCCGGCAACCGGAGATCTGGTACGAAGTCGAAACTCAAAGTTCCATCTAGAGATGTGTTTTACGTTTTGTGGAAACTACTTTCTATTTTACGTGGACTGTTCATTTGAACTTACTTAATAATTGTATATGGTCTCGTCTTAGGAATGACAGTTCTTCATTTCAAATGGCAGGCGTTTTGACTGCCATCATTAGTCCATTAGCTGAGTTCGGGCTTCAGAGATTGGAGGAACATCAAGGTCAAAAAAGTGGAGAGGGCGAACAGAAGTGTGATTCACAGTTGTAAAAGAGACAGACAGACACAAAGGCAGGGAAAAGGTAAGTTGAGTACCTTGTTAGTAGTCGGATATAACAAACAGTGGGGTCATGGTAGTTTGAAGTCAGAAGTCAACTACCGATTTGTGGACTATTTTGCCGTATGAGTATACGTTGCCCAGGGTGCACCACGTGGGGGTAAGTCTATTGCACACCACGTCTTAAATATGATAGTAATCATTAATGAACAAATAAATATAAGTAACAATGGCAATTATTATTATCTTTATTTTATTATCCGCACAATTATTTATAACAAAAGACTAGGACTAAATAATACCAATTGCTGAATTACCGATGAAATCAACTATTGGAGTAAAATAGTTCTACAAATAGTTATAAGAGTTTTTTCGGCGCTCATTTACCACCTTTTCAACGAACTAATCGATTAGCTTTTATGAAACAATTAGGAGGTTGCAGATTGGTGCTTTTGCAGGCAAATCATATGCTTTGACGTTAATTTTATTAATATTATGGCATGGAGTTTAGCAGTGCCTCAACACTCATGAGCCTTAGCTTATGCTCAGTAATCTCTATGGCAAGATCTCCTAGCTCGTAAAATCTAGGGGTCAGCTGAACTACTTCAAAGCTGTAGGGGTATGAAGTAGAATTCCTTTACCTGGGCTGTATCACTGACACTTACCTTTTTCGTTGTTGTACTAAGAAGGGTTTGTCAAGCAAAGTAGGGGCTATTGATTGGTGGGCGGTTAAGAGGTCTCTGAGATCACGACAGCACCTTTGAGTCTGTCTGAGTTCGTATGAGACTTCTTTGTTCAGCCATAGCGGTGTGTGCACACCTTTGTCTTATTTGTCTTCGGTCTAACTGCCTCTAATCCATTTTTCTTGACTCCACTCGGATTGTAAAATTATGAAAACCTGGGGGGGGGGGGGGGGGAGAGTTAATTTTGTTCTCAGCAGTGAAGTGTTCCCCTCTCTTCTGTGCTCACTTGTCATCTATCAACTCTTCCGCGCGTATTCTCACTGTAAGAACGAGTACAAGACCATCTTCAACTTATATCGTATTCATTAACATTTTACCATCGATCGATTCTTATTCCTTTGCGCTTTTCAGTAATATTATTTGCGTTATCCAGTTCTGTGGAGATTTATTTCACTGGTTCGGATAATGCCTTGAATTCCATATTCTCCTTGTGGGGGCTGAATCCCAAGCGATCGAGTCATTAAAAGTGGAACAATAAAGCTCTGAAAGCTCCTTCTTCCCACTCCCATTGGGATTATTCTTTTTCGCATTTAAATCTGTAGAGAAATTTGCTTATTTCAAGGTGTATAGATTCACTAGTATTGTTCTCCATTATCTTATTATAGTCAATAATGAAACATAAATGGATTCCATACAACTCAAGTGCCTAAGTGCGAATTTGGTGGGGGGGGGGGGGGGGGGAGGGGGTCGGAGACAGTAGTCATTCTCTCTCCGAGGTTTAAAAGTTGTTGAGGTAGAACTTTCAACTACTCCCTTTTCAACTGCTGCTAAGATAACATGCTTTCTGTATGGCCAACTACTGTTCTTCAAACAATCTTAAAATCATCTCAACTCTGTCTCAGTGGTTTTGCTGTTCACTGTTAAACTTCCAACGATTTTGTTATCAGCATATCTGTCTTACATGCAAACATCTAGACTTGCACGTTTGGGTGCTAGGGGATCCCTTAAGCTCAATTGGAAGACTTCAAGGTTTGTAGAAGCATTAATCTTCGGCTCTCATCAAAATACCTAGGTGAAGAAGCGATACTGACATGCGGTAAAAGGTTGCTCAGATAATTAGTTTCAGCCTAAGTCATTAATGGAATTACAATTTAGATGGAAATGCCTTATACATATTTCCAGGTTGTCTTCCATTGGGGGCATTTAAATGGCAAATATCGATCCGTGCATTTTGGCTGAAATTTAGTTGGAAAAATGAGTGTTGCTGTCATCATTTAGCGGTACCTCACCTCTTTTATTTCAATTTTGAAATCGTGCTTTTATATGCAATCTGATTGGAAGGTCTACTGTTCACAAGGTAGCTTACAGGACTGGAGCATCCAACAACATTGGTAACATCAGGATACTCTTTTGTCAGAGACCATATCATCAGACGCACTGACTTGCTTGTCTAAAAATTTGATGACGAGACATACGATGCTACTTTGGTAGTAGTGTTGATCTTCCGACTCAAAACAACTTTCTACTTTTAGTTCTCTGGTTCCTGACGAAGCAACCAAGAGCCTGTGTTGTTGGGATTCGCGCAATGCTGATCGCCAACGTTTACTTCCACTTAGTAAGTAGTGCATATAATTTGACATTGAATTTAGATGATGTTCCATTTTCCTAACTCTCATCCTCCCACTATCCCTCCTCCAATTAAGATCACAATGGACCAATCAGGTGTTTCGTTCATTCTCCGACAACGGTTGCATTTCCCTCTTCCAGGGTTTTCAACCGTGCTAGATTTTGGTATGTAAGGCAAATGACTGACCAAAGATACTGTACATTTACGAGCATTCCCGATTGTTAATTATAGCTTATATATGCCCTTCTTTTACATACTTCACCAACCGGTCTTTTCCTTATTGTACTTCTTGGCTCTTACTGGGCCGCGAGAGTACCCTAACTACTAAGTTCCACCTCAAGTCAATCACCTATGAACAGAATAACAAACAGAACAGGTTTAACCGATCGAGGTAAGTTCTGGTCTAGTCGCCGTATCCTAGAGAGTTTACTGTCTGGCCGGACAGCGATAGCCTGAACACCATTTGAAACACCACTCTTCTAGCTTGGTACAACCGCCTCCGTGAAACACATTGGAGAGTAAGGAACTTTTTTATCTCAAGTATACCTCATCTGCATTGTTGCAAATTCTGAGAACCCTGATTTTCAATCACTATGTTTTCCATTGTACAAACACTTCAGTCCTATTTTTCTTCCAGTCCGAATTAACCACAGTCGAGAGATATTCAGTCCACAGAAATCAAAATTGAAGGGATTAGAACAGTTTAGAATAGTCAGGTATTCCAAAACTAATGACTTCAGTTGGGTAGCTTCCACTCAGGGCATCAAAAATGTCCAATTATTCAAGTCCAAGAGAAAAAGAAATGCTGGACAGTAAAAGATTCTTTTATGTGTTTATTTTATCAAAATTTAACACGAAATGTGACCATAATGAATGAAATTGCTCAAGTAAATAGTTAGAATAGCTCCCAAAATCGAAGATCACGATCGGTGCTTTTCTCCGTAATGCTGCTATCATCGGAGTCATATATAAAGTCATAATAATCTGAGACGTTCCTAAAGCGGGAAAGATCAATTGAAGTTAAGTAGTAAGCGCACAATTGACTAAAAACGCATGTAAAAAGTTCAAATAACTTTAAAAATGCAGAGCTGGACTCTCTACGAGTCAAAGAATTGTTGGCATTAAAGATTTCGCAATAAGTGAATGAAGCAAAACAGGGAAGATCACATCATTACACTCTTACCCAAACATACTTTAAGAGCGAAGACTTTTCAACTGCCTCAGAACCCTCTTTAATTTCAGCACGAGGCGGATCCGATTTCGAAGTGCTGGGAGGAGGGATACGTTGTCGCACCGAACGATTAAGGCGAATGCTTAAAACAAAGTAAATTAGCAAAAGTTAAATGTATTGGCGACCATATGCGTGGAGTAACTAAAGGTTAGTAAGTCTATTAACAGCAATGAATACGCTACCACTACGTGGTTCGCCAATTATTTGATGCGTTAGTTGGAGGCAGAACAGTTGACTCATGGGGAGTTATGTTACTATTCACAAGGTAGCTTACGGGACTGCAGCATCCAACAGCACTGGCAACTTCACGATGTTCGTTTGTCTAAAAATTTGATGACGAGACATACGATGCTACTTTGGTAGTAGTGTTGATCTTCCGACTCAAAACAACTTTCTACTTTTAGTTCTCTGGTTCCTGACGAAGCAACCAAGAGCCTGTGTTGTTGGGATTCGCGCAATGCTGATCGCCAACGTTTACTTCCACTTAGTAAGTAGTGCATATAATTTGACATTGAATTTAGATGATGTTCCATTTTCCTAACTCTCATCCTCCCACTATCCCTCCTCCAATTAAGATCACAACGGACCAATCAGGTGTTTCGTACATTCTCCGACAACGGTTGCATTTCCCTCTTGCAGTATTGACAACCGTGCTACATACTGTACATTTACGAGAATTCCCGTTTGTTTATTATAGCTTATATATGCCCTTCTATCACATACTTCACCAACCGGTCTTTTCCCTGTTGTACTTCTTGGCTCTTACTGGACCCCGACAGCACCCTAACTACTAAATTCTATGCGTAAAAGAACTGTTGGCATTAAAGATTTCGACGTAAGTGAATGAAGCAAAATAGGGAAGATCACATCATTACACTATTGCCCAAACATACTTTAAAAACGAAGACTTTTCAACTGTCTCAGAACCCTCTTTAATTTCAGCACGAGGCGGATCCGATTTCGAAGTGCTGGGAGGAGGGATACGTTGTCGCACCGAACGATTAAGGCGAATGCTTAAAACAAAGTAAATTAGCAAAGGTAAAATTTCAAAATATCCGTTTCAATTTTTGCTTTCTCTCTAAGAAGAAGCCTTGGGGATACTCTCATTTCGAGGCATTTGGCTTCTAGGCGCCGTGTACTCTTCCTTTCATAATTCTCCTCCACCCACACTGTCGTTTTCCTCGATTTTTAAAAATATTTTTAATTTTATATTCATATCTATGCATAACAGTTGAATTTCACAATCAGCATACCCTTAATTTATGTTTTTCTATTTCTTCGCAGAGGATAAGCATTCACTCAAAGAGAGACCCGTTTTTTGTTGTTATTTTTTTCGTTTTCGCCCCAATTAATCCAAATGGCTCATCACTCAGGATTTCTACTAACGTCCCTCAGATCAGGCAGTTCTTTCGCCTTTCTGAATAAACTCAAGTTTGAAACACCTTTCAAAGCAAATATGACACTAAAACTGTAGGCTTTAGTAAGCCATTTAGAATACACATTTGCTTCCTCTTTTCATTGGACAGGAAAAACTTACTTTTCAAGACACCCCCAACTCGCTTCAACAAGCATGAAGTAATGAAGACAAGTGCCGAGTGCAAACCAAGCGATCAATCACAAATTCTCAATTTGGGAACATGAACAGCCACCATCCGCAGAATCTTTTTTGTTGCCTCTCCTTCCACACCCCCCCCCCCCCCCCCACCACCCTCTCTCCAACTCACCAATATTAATTTATTAACAGACTTTCTGTTAACCGATCGTAATTGCTTCTCAATAATTAGCTTTACCTTTAGGCATTACTTCAAGTGGTAACGTAAATTATGCCAATTATAAGCATATCGTTTCAAGAGAATATCAAATTTACCTCCTTTTTGGCTCTGGGTAATAATGACGAACAGTGACATAGTGACCACTGATTTTAAGACCTGTCGAATCCACCGCTTTCTGGACTGCCTCAACTGAGATCATTTTAACGATCGCATGCAATTGAGTACCAGTTTTAACCACAGAGGCTTCCTGTACACCACCGAATTGTCCTAAACAGACTCTCAATTCTAGTTCTGTAGTTAAGGGCGCCAAATCGCCAACACGAATATACAAGGTCTTCTTTGGTTCGGTTGAATAACTGTGAGGAGAAAAGAGAAGTTAATATGCGGGCAATCTAGCAAACGATTAAGACAAGTGAATGAATCTTTTACTGTCGAGCTCAATCTAGCTCCCCTGTGCACATTCAGTCATCTAAGTCTGCTTTCAAATTTTTGCATCTCCACACTTCAATCTCTAGGATGTGCTCTCACTAGTTAATTGCCGGTTGATTTCTGATTGGTCGGTCCTAGACTAACAATCGGTGGGTATTCGAACAACTCCCTCAACGTACCCACACTCGTGCATGCTCCCAAGAAGGGTTTGTCTTTCTCTCAGGACAGACACATTTCCCCTCATAAATTAGCTTTGCTGACGCGGTTAGAGATAAAGGTATATGTAGGTTATCTTTGTTTAACCAAGGGTCAAACAATTCCTGATAGCAACTCCAATTAGTTGGCATCTTCACACATTTCTGCATCAATTCGTTTCCTTATGTTGAATGAAACGCTGCACACTTAACCCCCCCCCCCTCCCCCACCCCCAATATCTTCTGCCGCGTTCGTAGCAACCGCAATAACAGAAGGGAACTATTAGCACCTTTCACAATTGCACAAATTTCAGCAAACATACCGACCGACCATTGAGAAGTTGTCCTAAATGTAATAAATAAAGACAATCGACCTATCTCATGCGTATTCTTGGGCTCAAGGTATGCTCGTCAAAGTTCTGTAGTATTCTTCAGAAAGTACTATACCACGTTCCAACACTCAGTTGATGGCTTTTATTGTTGGAAGTATGTTTGCGACATCCTTGAACTTAAGTTATCCATACACTGCACTGCATGCAGTGCAAATCGATGCGAAGTCGTACTTGGATTTTAGGGTTGTCAAAAATCTAGAGCAGACCACAGAGTCATCAACTGCTGTCACCATTATCGAAAAGTTTACCGTAATTGGAAGGACGGCCGACTTCTCTTATCTCTCACAATCTTTTCATTCTTCTTTGGCCCACTTCCTATCTTTCATCTAATTGATAGAACCACGTACCTTTCGAGGTGAAATGTCTCAATGAAGATGGGTTTAAAGCATATTTTCTACGGTTGCCGTTCCAACGAACAAAGAATGCAAATTAAGCGTACCCTACAGTCCCACCTTAGTCTGACCCATGTCTCACTCACTCTTAGCTCTGAAACACTGAATTTCTTCGATTCTCCACTGTTTTACTCATCCTCTGCGGTCTCCCACTTCTCCATTATGCATATGGTCCAAGTTAACTCTTAGTCGCTTCATCTAGGGGGTACCGTTAAACCCTAGCAGCTTTCAAGCACAACTCCTAACTCTGTAAAAAATCTCTCAAAGTAATTATATTGAAAACAATTGGAGACGCTTTATTTCCATTCATTTGGGGAGTGCGATAGACTTACATGGGCAACGTATACTCACACAGCAAAAAGTCAATAAACAGACAATTGACTTCTCACTTCAAACTACTATGATCCCATTGCATGCCACACTCGCCCACTTCCACAGTACTCATCTTACCTTTTCTCTGCCTTTGTGTCTGTCTGTCTGTCTCTTTTACATCTGTGAATCGCTCTTCTGTTCCCCACCTCTCGACTTTCTGTTACCTTGATGAACCTTCCCTCTGTGAAGTCCCAAGTTAGCTAAATGGCTAATGATAGCTAACAAAACGCCTGTCATTCGAAATAAATAAATATTCCTTTCCTGATGATGAGATAGCTTTAGGTAATAAAAGCAGAGCATAGCTTTGGTGTAAGTAAATCAGGCTACTTCACGTCTAAACGGTAAGAAACTGTATTATGGCCCTCGTAACAACTAAAATTCACTCCAATAGGCTAAACTCTGACAAAAACAATATGATTTCTTATATTTTCAAGGTACATTACACATGCTGAATATTGCCTACAGTTAAAAAGCACCAATTTATAAAAAACTGGACTCACTTATCAATGGGATTCAGATCCGAATAAACGTGTAAATCTTTCCCTCGCACTTGATGAGGACTAGCCTTTAAAGCCTCTTGTAGAGCTTTCGACGAGGCAAAAGTAAGAGTACCTTTGCGTTCTATATCCTGAATTCTTAGGTCGGTGATTCCGCCGAATTTCGAAAAGCACTGTAATAAATCTTGACGACTTGTATTCACTGGAATGTCATACATAACCATTCTAGTGTCCCTAGAGACTTCGGTAGTGGGTTTTAATGATTTCGGTTGTCTATAATCAATTTAAAATGGAGAAGATTAGCATAGTAAATACGTTTCAATAAAAAAGTGAACAATTGATGAGGCGATGTGCAAGATTGTATTTATATTCACCAACACTATCACTGTGACATTGTTTCACATTTCCCAATCTGCTAACCAATTAGATTCTTCTTCAAAGATACGTCCAATTATCCCGCCCATGTGATTGCTGCATTGTTCATGGCATATATTTATCGCCCCCAATTTAATAAGCTATAAATGTTCACTTTTTTGCCAATTAGGAACAATAAAGATATTTGATCTTTCAGCAAATGCGTGATCGAGTTATTACGTAACATGAATTGTAATTGGTGATCTGGCCACATAAGCAACAAACGCTGTCCACTTTGCTCGATGTGTTTTAGTCACTTTAAAGGTAGACCACTTCTGGTACAACCTTAACCTCGGGGATATTGACAGAGGGGATTGTAAAGCTCCACGCAGAGTTTCTTCGTATTAGTACCATTAACACCAACACATTCGCTAACATGAGCTGAATTCCAATCATTGCTTGAAATAAGTTGAAAGAAAAGCACAACCGATTCCCATTGAGCTATAGGAATTGTTGTAACTTGGGAGGCGAATCGATTCATGCACAAATTACGCAACTCAATTAGCCGATTGCCTGATGTACCAAGTGGTGAGTAGAACAGGAGTTCAGAAGAGTAAGTGTACACAGTGTAATCGAATACAAGCGTCTGAAGATATATGATTATAGAGCTGGTCCAAAGCACACCACACTTGGGATACTCCATGGTAAATGAAAATCCTCCGACCCCAGTCAGTTCATAACCACTTAATCTCCTGCCTCCTGATGCTCTCCAACATACACGTAGTTCATATAGTTCAAGAGGTGACTCTCTCATGTTCCTTAGTGTCTCTTTTGAAGATTTCATTAATAATATTTGAATTTCACATGTTATTTTTTAACGCCGGAATCCAACATCTTTGAGAATCACATGTCTGTCATTTGGTGTTAGAGCACATCTGCGTAGAGCAGAGTCTACATCTGTGTCTTGCCTAACAATTCTAACTCCAGCTTATGAAGAATAAAAAGGTAACTCGCAAACACACCTCAAGCACTTACTCCGAATTCTTCTTGTACGCTTTTCGAACGATAAGCACCTTACCGCCAAGTAAATGTGGACATCCTTTCAAAACTCCCTCCACCTCCTCTTCAGAGGACATGTTAACAAATGCCATTCCACGTGGTTTTGAACTCTGGCGATTACAAATTATGTCCACTTTCGTCACAGTTCCAAATCTGGAAAAGTGCTCCTTTAGCATCTCCCTGCTAACTGAAGGATTCAAGTTACCAATAAATAATCTCAGTTTGTCAACATGTTCACACGAACCATTCTTCTCCCCTTCTCCCTCCCTCTCTCTGTCAACACAAATAAACAAAAATTGGTGAATTTCAATAAGTGATTCAATGAAGAAACAAAGATGACTC